TATTTTATCTGCTTTATTTGCTGCTTTAGGATTAAGAGTTATTTCAAAGTATAGCTAGGTCCGGGCCTTAGGTAATTGCCGAGTTTTGTAGCAGGATTTTGTTGAACCTATATATATATAATTTTTATCTTCTACTTGTATTGTTAGGCATTGTTTCAGTAGTTTCTTAACATTTGTCGAACCAATTGCTGCAGTAAACAACAAAACATACAAGTATATCTCCATCATTTCAAACATTTATCCCGATAAAAATTAAAAATCAACAACATCCGTTTGTCGATTGTAGTATAAAGGAATGATAAAATGAATTTTGGTTTTTAAAGCCAAATTTAATGCTTATAATAACTTTTTTTTTTCAAATTTCAATACAATTCTTATAAACCCAGAACACATTATATAGGTTTGTTTAAATAATGTGGTAGCTAACATGTCTAGACCGTGAATTTAATGCTGTTGTTACCTTTTAACAATAACCACTTAAGCTATTTACATTAGATAAGCTAACATGAAGACAGTTTTATACTTTTTTTTCATCTCAAATATCGCGTTTCTTAAACTTTTTGTAAATATACAAAAGATCTGGTGTGGGTTAGTAATCATCTTTAAAGATGATTACTAACCCACAGACCTCGAGCCCAGAACCTACATACTTAATATAAAGATGATTACTAACCCACAGACCTTGAGCCCAGAACCTACATACTTAATATAAAGATGATTACTAACCCACAGACCTTGAGCCCAGAACCTACATACTTAATATTAGTTAATATAAAGATGATTACTACCCCACAGACCTCGAGACCAGAACCTACACAGTTAATATAAAGATGATTACTACCCCACAGACCTTGAGCCCAGAACCTACATACTTAATATGGTAGGTTCTGTGCTCGATGTCTGTAGGTTAGTAATCATCTTTATATTAAGTATGTAGGTTCTGGACTCGAGGTTTGTGGGTTAGTAACCATCTTGATATTAACTATGTAGGTCCTGGGTTCGAGGTTGGAGTGGGAAAATATCGTATAGAAATACTGAATAATGAAACTCCTTTGCAATACTTTGCCGAAACCATCAAACTGTTATGTATAATTTGTCTCAAGAGCCAATTATTACCCATGTTTATGATGATATTTTCAAAGCATTCAAATTTAAAGACGGGGCTAAAGAAAAGAACATTCAATAACTTATACCTAATCTTACCATCTGGATAATCTTAGTATGGTTTTTACTAATGAAACACCGATAACTTTTTTTCTAGGCCTTACCTGCGGGATGCTGCAGATGATACTTATCAACCATGCGAATGTTAACATGATCTTGCTACGTCTGTGAGCGTCGTTGACTTTCAAGGGATGTAAAATGGCGAAATATCTGTCTAGGCTGATACAGACCAAAACCATTGAAGAAAGGTAAGGACCGAAAGCCCGAAGGAACTGCATGATTTTGCATGCTGCGTCTCCAGCCACCCATTTCATCGTGATCCGCCAGCCAATCTCCAGTGGAATCATGATAAAAGTTACGATGAGGTCTGCAATAGCCAAGTGGAGGATCATTAATTTGATCCTCGACTTTCTCTGGCGAGTTCGGAGCAGAGTAACAAATACCGAAACGTTCCCCATCGCTGCTACCACCAATAATAAACTATAAGCCACGATCTCACCGGCGATCTCTTCATTGAATAGCAAATGTTCTGGCAAACCGATCGTTTCGTTTGTCTTGTTCAACGTTTCGTTCTGAGTGAATTCTGCTGTAATGTCTATCTCTTCCATTTTTCACAGCTGTATTATCTGGCTCTTGTACAAGTTATGAATATGTGTGATGGGGAAGACTTGGCGAGACCAGATTAACAAGGTTTCGATCAGTAGGCGTTTCGGTTGAAAATCATCATCGCAGATCCGGATCTGTTGGCCTACTTCCACCTCTTGAACTTCCACCACTACTAGATGGAATATTTTTTTTCTTTTAAGCCCCTTACACACGTTATAAAGTATGATATGTTAACCTAATTTTGTATTTAATTGACGCCTTACTTATTTACCGGAGGTGGGATGTATTCTAATGAAAAGTGTCGACTTGTGGGACTCGGAACACTCAAGACACTTGAGAGCGACGTCCATCTACCTATCCCCAGCTGCTACAAATGTAAGAAGTGGGATTGGAAAGCGGCAGCAGGTTTTACTGCTGCGACACGCCAGCATTGAGGGCGCCTCTGTCCACACCAGCTGGATTCTATTTGACACAGCCACGACATATTGTCGAGTTAATACGACTAGATACGAGGATGTGGTGTCAGCTTAGGAACGTATTGTTGTGTATGTATTTTTCTTAATAGCGGATTCTCTGTGTACATGTTTTAACGCAGTTTCATAAATTTTTGTATTCTCTACTTAGATTTCAACGTTGTTTGTTAAACATTCAACATTTCTGTACACATATTTCAACACAACGCGCATTAACATATCCACATTTCTGTACACATATTTCAACACAACGTGTATTAACATATCAACATTTCTGTACACATATGTCAACACAACGCGCATTAACATATCAACATTTCTGTACACATATTTCAACACAACGTGTATTAACATATCAACATTTCTGTACACAGATTTAAACACAATATACAAAAATGTGAACATTTCTGTACACATATTTCAACACAACGTGTATTAACATATCAACATTTCTGTACACATATTTCAACACAACGTGTATTAACATATCAACATTTCTGTACACATATTTCAACACAACGTGTATTAACATATCCACATTTCTGTACACATATTTAAACACAATATACAAAAATGTGAACATTTCTGCACCCGAATTTCAACACAATTTGTCATATCCACATTTATGTAGGCTGATTCCAATGAACTTTGTAAAACTTTCAAAATTTCTTTACTCAGATTTCACAACAATTAATTAATATTTTCGCGTGACACTTTCAACTTATCAACAGAAACAAAATTAGTCGACATTCTAATTACTGCTAGAGAGAGAGTACTATAAACGTCTAGTAACTTGATGTGTAATTTACAATGTATAACTTACCATTCAATTCTGTATAGACATATTTTAGACTAGCTGAATTACTAGTCCCCAGGACGGATGTTATGTAAATTCATGATTATTGTAAGGTTATCTTGGGACATGAAAAGTTGCTTCCCTTATATGCAATTGTAAAAAAAAAATACAAAAACATCCAAAAAAAAACTGCAAAACGCAAAATGCAAAATTGAAAATTTGAATGTATCTCCTCGTGAATGCAATGAACCTCCACACCAAATTTCATGAAGATCCATCTACAGGGGTGAATTAGTGGTAAAAAAAACAAAAAAACAAACGCCAAAACACCCATAAAAACCGCAAAACGAAAAATGCAAAACTGAAAATTTGAATGTATCTCCTCATGAATCCATTGAACCTCCATACCAAATTTCATGAAGATCCATCTACAGGGGTGAATTAGTGGTAAAAAAAAACACGCCAAAACACCCATAAAAACCGCAAAACGAAAAATGCAAAACTGAAAATTTGAATGTATCTCCTCATGAATCCAATGAACCTCCATACCAAATTTCATGAAGATCCATCTACAGGGGTAAATTAGTGGTAAAAAAAACACGCCAAAACACCCATAAAAACCGCAAAACGAAAAAAGCAAAGCTGAAATTTTTTATATACCCCAGAATGAACCTAATGAACCTCCATACCAATTTTGGTGAAGATCCTTCCAAACCATGCGAAGTAGTTATATGAGCATACAACAGACAGTACTGTTATATTTATATAGAAGATTAGTCGATATCCCAGTTACTGCTAGAGACTTTAGTAACTTTATGTATAATGTAATTTACCGTTCAGTCTTGTACAGATAAATATATCCATAAAAAAAACTCTTGCGTTAACACAATTACATGTATCCAGTTTTCAATCCTGATGCTCTAAACAGTTATAAAACATACTGATATATTTTACATGTGAAAGAAGATTATACTTAACTTTTGTTTCTAGTACAAATATATTTGACTTTCCTGTATGTTTAACAAGTTTAACAGCCATTTCACAATTGACATTTAACGTCAAAAATATGCATTAAAGATGGTAGTTGACATATAAATCTAAAGTATTTCTTTCTTTTTTTCGAATCGCCCCCCCCCCGTAGCACAGCGGTATGTCTACGGATTTACAACGCTAGAATCCGGGTTTCGATACCCGTGGTGGGCAAAGCACAGATTGCCCATTGTGTAGCTTTGTGTTTAACTTCAAAACAAGTCTTTTTCGAATTAAACTATTACTTTTCAAATGAACATTGTTTTTTAACGACCACAGGAAATAGAAAATGTACTTAATGTCTTCAAACTAGATACATTATCCTCACTAATAATGTTACATAAAGTGAAAACGTTTGCTATGTTTCTAATGGTCTTATGAGACTAGGCTCGGCATGGCCATGCGGTTAGGCGGGTCGCGGGATCGAATACAGTCACTGAACATGGGGCGTTATAACGTGACGGCCAATTTCACTATTCATTATCAAAGAGTATCCCAAGGGTTGAACTCTTTTAATAACAAATAGTGTGATTCACCGTCACATTATAACGCCCCCACGGCTTGAAGGGCGAGCATGTTCGGCGATAGGTATTCGAACTCGCGGCCCACAGATTGTGAGTCGAGCGCCCTAAACACCAGGCCCTAAAAATAAGAGCCATAGTAACTTTTCCATAAATACAAGATACAAAGATTCGAAGCTAACAATACAGATACGCAATATAGACACGTGATGTCACAGTAACTGCTTGAAATAAATAGCTATTCAATATTTATTTTATTTCATACTTGGAGCTTAAACGAGGAGGTCGCAAAAATGGCGTCGAATATTCATAAATAATTTATTTTATAATGCAAATTTGTGAGGTACTTCTGAAGTTTATAAAGTCAGAAAGAAGCATATCATTTAGTATGTAGAAAGCTTCAACCAAGGAAAATAAAGTTGGAAATATAAGGATAAGACTAGAGGGAAGGCAGCTAGTCATCATCACCCACCGCCAACTCTTGGGCTACTCTTTTACCAACGAATAGTGGGATTGACGGTCACATTATAACGCCCCAACGGCTTAAAGGGCGAGCATGTTTGGTGGGATGGAGAGTAACACCAACACGATAACATGAACAAGCCATCCAGGAAAGTGCACAGAAGCAAATATTGGAATTGTTATTAGTTTGTACATAAGAAGGTAGCCCTGGTGATTGAAACGTTTCTAGAAAGTCACACGCGGGTTTGGTACTTACTTACAGCATCGAAACTTTTAAGTTCTGGTTTTATTTCTCGAACGCCATCTAAACCCATGTATTTTATTATTGTCTTTGAAACTGAATGGATACATCATTTACATCTTTACGAATACACATATATTATATAATCTTTCAGTAATATCTATCCACAAGTTAGCTTACCACCGTTACATTTGGTTATATAATAATAGCTCAAGAGTTAGCTAACTGCCTTTCATTTTTTTTATGTCTACCAATTCAAAATTGTTCCCAGCTTCGTGCGAAAATCATAAAACAAATAAACAATTTCCATCATATTAGTCCTAGTGTTTCTATCTGAATGCCTTTTACTTGTTCAATTTCATAACGATTTTACTAGAGTGGTTAAAGGTCGGGTTGTAACTGATAAGACAACCCAGTTCCTCCTAATGAACGATCGAGATTATGTATGCATTTCAAAAACTACTTTTAAATCTTACATTCCCAACTTTATCTATACGTTATAACATAATGAAAACGTGTCTGTATAGAAAACATCAACTCTTAATTACTTTGCTTTTAATATTTGCATATAGATTGAAATAATCAACTTCTTATCTCTACACAAATGGTATAACTAATTTTTCTCAAAACTTCATTATAAGACTATGAAATTCGTACTTATGAGGAATGACGAAAACCATATTAATTTCTTACAGAGAAATAATCCATTTTACGACTTTATGTAGTCTTGTAATGGATTTGCTGTCTGCACTAAATGTTCTAAATGGTTTCAACTTAAACATTTACTTTTGAAAGAAGAGTATACATTTTGTTTGCTAGTTTTGTTTATGGCTATATCTACCGCTGTCCCTAATTTCGAACTGCCGATCATAAAGAAGACAACTAGATGGTAGCACCCATCGTTAACTTTTTACCAAAGAATGGTGAGATTGACCGTCACATTATAACGCCCCCACGGCTGAAAGGGCGAGCATGTTTGGTGTGACGGGGATTCGAACCCGCGACCCTCAGATTGCGAGTCGAGCGCCTTAACCACCTGGCCATGCCTGGCCCTTGTGGCTATATCTACCCTTATTTCGAACTGCCGATCATAAAGAAGACAACTAGATGGTAGCACCCATCGTCAACATTTTACCAAAGCATAGTGAGATTGACCATTACAGTATAACGCCCCCACGGCTGAAATGGCTAGTACATTAGGCGCAGGGTTTCGATCCCGCGATCCGCAATTTGTGATTCTAGCGCTATAACAAAAAAAAGAAGATATTTGGAATCCTGAGTTGCATAGGCGTATGTAAGTTTATTTTGTAAGTATAACTGTTTTGTGTTTCCACTACAGTTACAATCTTCTAAGAAAGAGTGGGTACCTAAAATATTATTCTAAAAACACTGAGATATTTTCTATAAAAATAACTAATCCGGTTCGCTGTAAGGGATAACTCGATTTCTTTCAAAAATCCTAGTTTGGTAATAAAAGTTT